CTTAACAACCTACAGAAACCAATGAAAAATCAACAAATTCAGCCTCTTGGGCCTCTTGGGGCTCCAAAAGGGCCTCAAGATGGCCCAAGATGGCCCCAAGACGGCCCAAGACGGCCCAAGATATTCCCAACGGGGGCCCATGACGCCCCCAAAACGGCCCCAAGAGGGCCTCAAAAGCTCCAAGGACGGCCCAACAGGGCCCAAGAGCGCCCATTACTGCGCCCCCAGAAGCCGAAATCATTGATTTCCCGATGGTCCTTGCAATATCTTAGCGTTCTCGCCTTGATCGACTCTCAAAAATCATCCATGACGGCCCAAGCAGCTTCCAGAATCGCCCCAGAATGCCCCAAAAAGCCCCCAAGAGGGCCCCAAGACGGCCCAAGAGAGCCCCAAAACGACCCAAAGAGGCCCCCAAAACGGTCCAAAAGGCAGCGAACACGGCCCAAGAGGACCACAAGAGGGCTCCAACGCGGCCGCGAGAGGCCCCCAAGACAGCCTCCGAGGGGGCGAAACGGCGCAAAAACGCCCCAAGACGGCCCAAGACGCCCCCAAGAGGCCCCAAGAGGCCCCCAACAAGCCTCCAAAAAGTTCCCCAGAAGCCTCCAAAAGGCCTCCAACAAACCCCCCAAAAGGCCACACAGCGACTGGTGTGTAATGTTATTTTCCCCCCTCTGGGCGAACTGCGGCGCAGCGCCAGCCAGGTGGAAGTTGGTCACTGCGGCGCCCATGATTGGAGCCGGCGATGGAAGGGAAAATGGAGAGGGTGTATGAAAAGGAGGGAAGGGGGAAAGCCCCCAAAGAAACCCCCCAAAAGCCAAAAGAAACTCCCAGGAGGCCTCCAGGAGGCCCCCAAAAGGCTCCCAAACGGCCCCGCGACGACGTGACTGTACGTGCTCCGGACGTGCACCCCGCGAAACGAGAGGAATCCACGTCCGGAGGTGACGTGCTGAGCGGCAGCGTTTTTCGGCGAACGCCTTAATGCAACGTATCCAATGTATCCAAAGATTCCATAATTGCAACATCTTGTATTGTGTTACATTATTATGTCTCCCCCCCTAACCCCCCCTGGGAGCTGCGCCACACCGCCGGACCAAAGTGATCCCCCCTTCTGGGGCCCAAAAAACATTAGCCTGGCGAAAGACCCAACCATATGCAGTTGTGGGTATCGCAGTCGGGGGAGCCCCGTATGGGGCCACGAAACGCTGTAATGGAGGGGGGGGCTCATGCGGGCTGTGCCACTGGGACCCTCGGTGGAGCCCGCATATGGGGCCACGAAGCGCGGCACTGGGTGGGGGGGCGCATGCGAACTGCGCCACTGGGACCTTCGGTGGAGCCCCCTATGGGGCCACGAAGCGCTGTACTGGGTTTGGGGGGGGGGGGGGGGCGCATGCGAACTGCGCCACTGGGACCTTCGGTGGAGCTCCCTATATGGGGCCACGAAACGCTGCCCTGGGTGGGGGAACCGCATGCGGGCTGTGCCACTGGGACCTTCGGTGGAGCTCCCTATGGGGCTACGAAACGCTGCCCTGGGTGGGGGAACTGCATGCTGGCTGTGCCACTGGGACCTTCGGTGGAGCTCCCTATGGGGCCACGAAGCGCTGCCCTGGGCGGGGGAACCGCATGCGGGCTGTGCCACTGGGACCTTCGCTGGAGCTCCCTATGGGGCTACGAAACGCTGCCCTGGGTGGGGGAACCGCATGCGGGCTGTGCCACTGGGACCTTCGGTGGAGCCCCCTATGGGGCCACGAAGCGCTGCCCTGGGTGGGGGAACCGCATGCGGGCTGTGCCACTGGGACCTTCGTTGGAGCTCCCTATGAGGCTACGAAACGCTGCCCTGGGTGGGGGAACTGCATGCGGGCTGTGCCACTGGGACCTTCGGTGGAGCTCCCTATGGGGCCACGAAGCGCTGCCCGAACCGCATGCGGGCTGTGCCACTGGGACCTTCGGTGGAGCTCCCTATGGGGCTACGAAACGTGTGAGGGGTGTGCCGAGAGCAGAGGCAAGGAGGGCGAGGAGGGAGGAGGGCGAGGAGGGGGAGGAGGAGGAGAGGAGGTGGGACGCGGGGCGCTGTCTCTTCAAAACGAGGACCCAACACCACAGGATGGTTGGGAATACAAAAAACCTATGAAACATCAACAAATTCGGCCTCTTGGGCCTCTTGGGGCTCCAAGGCCTCAAGATGGCCCAAGATGGCCCTAAGACGGCCCAAGATATTCCCAACGGGGGCCCATGAGGCCCCCAAGACGGTTCCAAAAGGGCCCCCAAAGCTCCAAGGACGGCCCAACAGGGCCCAAGAGCGCCCATAACTGCGCCTCCAGAGGCCGAAGTCATTGATTTTCCGATGGTTCTTGCAATCTCTTAGCGTTCTCGTCTTTTTCGGCTTTCAGAAATCCATGACGGCCCAAGCAGCTTCCATAATCGCCCCAGAACAACCCAAAAAACCCCCAAGAGGGCCCCAAGACGGCCCAAGAGGGCCCCAAAACGACCCAAAGAGGCCCCCAAGACGGTCCAAGAGGCAGCGAAGACGGCCCAAGAGGACCACAAGAGGGCTCCAATGCGGCCGCGAGAGGCCCCCAAGACAGCCTCCGAGGGGGCGAAACGGCGCAAAAGCGCCCCAAGACGGCCCAAGACGCCCCCAAGAGGCCCCAAGAGGCCCCCAACAAGCCTCCAAACAGTCCCCCAGAAGCCTCCAAAAAGCCTCCAACAAGCCCCCCAAAAGGCCACACAGCGACTGGTGTGTAATGTTATTTTCCCCCCTCTGGGCGAACTGCGGCGCAGCGCCAGCCAGGTGGAAGTTGGTCACTGCGGCGCCCATGATTGGAGCCGGCGATGGAAGGGAAGATGGAGAGGGTGTATGAAAAGGAGGGAGGGGGGAAAGCCCCCAAAGAAGCCCCCCAAAGGCCAAAAGAAACTCCCAGGAGGCCCCCAGGAGGCCCCCAAAAGGCTCCCAAGAGGCCCCGCGACGACGTGACTGTACGTGCTCCGGACGTGCACCCCGCGAAGCGAGAGGAATCTAACTAGTTCTCAGAGTTCTTCAAACCGAGCGGGCGCAACGACTGGGCGTCGCGGGTGGCAAACGTCGTGTCCTCCTCCTCCTGCTCCTCCTTCTCCTCCTCCTCCTCCTCCTCCTCCTCCTCCTTGGGTATGAAAATGCAGAGGAGGGCGTTGAAGTTGGAGTGCGGCGAGCCCCCCAAATCCACCAACGGTATTCATCTAAAAGCTCCGCTGCCTTCGGAGCTACTCGCCATGCATCGTGGGGTAATCGATCAGGGCTAGGGGCGCAATTCTCCAGGGTCCTAAGTCGGGCTCTTATGCTGGCAACCGTTGGGTCGGATATCAGAAACAAAATCAGGTGTCCTCCAAAACATGCAAGGTAGCTGTCAGCAGGCCCCGAAAAACCTCTTTGTGCCCAACGGCTCTAGCCCAACGGCTACATATCGTGAAGACATAGCTGATGGAGTCGTCGCCACCTCGCTTCCAAGCCAGGTACCTTCCAAGTGCAGCCGCCGATCGAAGGAGGCCCATGCAGATGCCCGTTTTTGAAGGAGACGAGGCTGTTGACGACGTTTCCGACGGATGCGTTCGGGGGTCTTCTCGTTGTTTGAACCTCCGATTCGGGACTGCTGAGCTTCGATATCGGCTGACTATAACCGATCTAGGTCTGTCGCAAACTTGTTCGGGCCCAGTAGCCAAAAACGCCCGGTGCACACACCGAGGCCGAGAAGGGACCGAGCGGCGGCGTGAGCTTGCAGTAGAGTGGCGCCGAGCAGCACAGTCTGCCGACAAGCATAGCGAGCCACCGAGCGGCAAAGTGTGATGCGAGCCAGCCTGGAGGATGGGTCGTGGTGGAGGAGAGAGAGTTCCGGGCAAGCTTGCCCCCTTCCGTCACCAGGTTTTTTGTAGAGGCCGATTCTGAGAGGAGGCGAGAGGTTGTCCCAAACCATGGCTCCCAAGTGCGCCTCCGTACAGTGTTGGAAGAGATCCTGGGAGTTGGGGCGCTCCGGAAGTGGGCCGAGATCGGAACGTGGTCCGAGAGCTCTCGATGGTGCACCACCTCTACCAAATCTTTAGCCATACCGGTGGCGTTCATCTGAACAAGAGAGTACCCAGGGATCGGCACGAAGATGCGGTCGATGATGTTCGTCGAATCGTTCGCGAGAGAGTCGTGAACGGGATCTGTCTGCTCAGCATCCACCAACTGAGCCAAAAGACCTTGCCGAACTGAATCCCTCCCAGCTCGCCATTCTTGGAAGGCAAGTTTGGGGCGGAACTAGAAGTCGGGCAGGCTGGGGGCACGGAGACTGCACACTGATACTGAAATCGCCAGCCAAAATGATCAGTGCTCGTGCAGGCTCGCCGTGCCACGAAAAAGTCGTGTTCAAAATCGCTTTGATCACCATCAGTTCTTCAGTTCTGGAGAGCCTAGACTTGTGAACACTGTAATGTGAAGGTGAAGTTCAACAGTCCCCAGACCCATCAAGAGCCACTGTAACGTTCACCACACGCCCAATAATAAATTCTCTAACATGGTGGGTAACCGTTGCACTCTGCACCCATCATAGGACAAAGTGTCAAGAGTCCTCCCACATTCGTGCGATCAGCGACAGGGTGAACCATCTTGGAGGGCTTGTGGATCTGATGCAAACTTTCCTCGGCCTCCGCCAGAGTCCCGTTAACTTCCTGGAGTCCCAAGATCGAGGTAGGGGTGACGGGGGTCCTGAGGTAGGAGATCTTCTGGCTGCGGACTGCGAGGTCATTGCGTAGCAGAGCCCTGGCGTTCCAGCTCGTGGCAGTAATGCTGGCGCGAGAGGGCGGAAGGCACCACGCTCCTTCCTCCTCCCGCCTCCTCTTCCTAATCCTCCTCCTGCTCCTCCTCCTCCTCCTGCTCCTCCTCCTCCTCCTCCTCCTCCTCCTCCTCCTCTTTGTCATCCTCCCTATCATCCCCTTTCCCCTCTCTTTCTCGTCTTTCTCCTCCTCCGTTCCCCCCGCAGCCCACCGTCCTTCGATGGCGCCGCCCCGCGGAAATGGTCGACGAACTGCGCGTAGCTGCCGCGCGAGCTGCCGCCTGCTCCTCCCTCCTCCGTCTACCACCTCCTCCTCCTCCTCCTCCTCCTCCGTCTACCACCAACTCCTCCTTCTCCTCCTCCTCCTCCTCCTCTCTCCCACTCCTCCTCCTCCTCCTCCTTCTCCTCCTCCTCCTCCTCCTCCTCCTCTGTCTCCTCGTCTTTCTCCTCCTCCTCCGCCTCCTCCTCCTCCTCCTCCTCCTCCTCCTTCTCCTCCTCCCTCTCCCATTCATCCTCCTCCATCCCCCTGGGTCCCTCTCTCTTCTGTCCTGCCCAACTCTCTCCTCTCTCCTCCCCTCCTCTTCCTTCCTTCTTCGTGGTGTTCGTCCTCTTCTTCTTTTTTTTGTTCTTAGTGTTCCGAGTCGTATTTATTAGGCCGATGTAGAATGCTGTATGCACGCATGTATGTATTAAGCATTGGTGGTGTCGATAAGGTTGCTTTCATTGCTATCATCATCATCATCATCATCATCATCATCATCATCATCATCATCATCATCATCATCACCATCATCATCATGCGTATTGTATTCGTAAACGTATGAATGTTCTTATCTATATTATTGTGTACTCTAAATTTCCTCATTCTTATTATCGCCCTTGATATTCTTATACATCCGATTGCCAACATTATTTTTGTCAGTGTTATCAGTATTACGGATGATACTAGCATGGGTATTGTTAGTCTGTGTGTTATGTTATGTTTGGTATGCTTAGTGCTAACATTATTCGTATTGATCCTCTCCGTGCTCCTCTTCCTCCTCGTCCTCCTCCCCGTGCTCCTCCTCCTCCTCCTCCTCCTCCTCCTCCTCCTCCTCCTCCTTGACCACCCTGCGCAGAAAGGGAAAGGCCCCCCTGCACTCGCCCGCTACGCGGCGGAGTAATCCACAGCGAGCAGCAGTGAGCCGTGCAAGGTCACGACCACGCCGCGCCGGCGCTGTTGACTTGAGGGCGTGGCGCAACCCGCACACGACAACCGAGCACCCCGCAGGGATGAAACAGATTAGGGGGCCACATGCGAACCCTACCCCTACCCCCCACGATTTCTGAGGGGGAGGGTGGGGTTCACTTCGCTCGGGAGCTCCCGAATGGAGTGAACCCCACCCTCCCCCTCAGAAATCGTGGGGGGTAGGGGTAGGGTTCGCATGTGGCCCCCTACAGATGAAGAGCGAGGCGGCGGCCGAGTAACACGTTCGCTGGGCGGGATTGCCGCTGCACTGCCCGACGCGACGCGGCAGGGGCTTCGTGTCCCCGACGTCCGCCCCGGCGGCAGCGTGCCGCCGGGCTCTGGGCCGGCGCCCCCGGGCGCTCTCGGCGTGCGGCGAGCGGGCCCTCCTCCTGGGCCGGTGCGGGGCCCTCGTTCTGAGGAGCCGGCGCCCCGCGCTCCTGCCTCCTCTCCTCCTCCCTCCCCCTCCTCCCTCCCTCCTCTCCTCTTCTCCCTCCTCCTCCCTCCTCTCCTCTCCTCTCCTCTCCTCTCCTCTCCTCTCCTCCTCTCCTCTCCTCTCCTCCCTCCTCTCCTCCCTCCTTCCTCCCTCCTTCCTCCCTCCTCTCCTCCCTGCACGCACATGATAATCTGAGCGGCGCTGTCTTCGACGGCTTCGGCTCCACACGGTGCGCTGGGCCAGGTGCCCGCGACGCTTCCCGCTCCAGGCGGCCCCACGTGCCACCAGAGGCCCCTCGGGAGGCCCCTCCAGAGGCCCCTCGGACCTCCCCGGGAGGCCCCTCGAACGTCTTGGACTCTCGTGGCACGGTGGCCGGCTAGGCCGGAGGCCGCTACATCCGCCGCCCCCCGTTGGCTCGCCAGAGGGGCGCACGGCGCGAGAGATTTTAGGCAGTTGTCTCTCCTTTCTGAACGTGTTCAGGGCTCAGCTGCCCCGATACGCAGCACGAAACACGTAGCGTGTTGACACGGAGCTCAGCACGTAGACTGAAAACGTAGGTCTGACGCGATGCATTCGCCAAAACGCGGGCCAATACGTCGAGCCAACACGCAACGTATCGACACGGACGTTTTGAGCACGGTGCGTGTTGCGTATCGAAACGGGCGTATCGAAGCATCTAAGGTTCAAGGTCCTTCGGCCCAATGCGCCAGCCATCGGGAGGGACCCGTGACCTTCCCAGCTCATCGGTCCTCGAAGCCCCGTAAGGACCCATCCATTTCCCAGGTCGTCAGTCTTCCCGCTCCAGGCGGCCCCAGAATGACCTCCAAGGCGCCCCACAAGGACCCGTAAACTTCCGAGGTCATCGGTCTTCCCGCTCCAAGACGGCCAAGATGGCTGAAGATGCCCTCCAAGATGCCTGTAAGACGTCCAAGACGGCCCAAGGTGCACCCAAGATGGCCCATGAAGGCCACAAGATAGCCTAAGACGGCCCGAGAGGCTCCCAGGAGGCCTTCGAAAGAGCCTCTCCAAGAAAGCCCGAAGAGATCTCTCCTCCTCCTCTTCTTCTTCGTCTTCTTCTTCATATTTTTCCGATGCTTATTCTCCTTCTTACTCTTCTTCCTCTTCTTCTTCTTCCCCGTCGTGCTCCCCGAAGCGTTGCCACAACGGCTAGGGAAACACGCGATCAGATCGCTTGGCCGAGCTCTGGCCACAACGTTCGGCCACATAGGCGCTTCCAAACGGCAGGGGGCGGCGGTGATTCGCCGTAGGCGTCTTCGATCCGCCGCCCCCTGTGCTTGCCATAGGGGTGCCCGGCGTGCTAAACATCAGGGTGTTCTCAACCTTTTCAGTCCCAGTGGATCTCAGCCTGATGCGCCACCGTGTCCAAGACGATCAGAACTCTGCACAACGACCGCCCCCAAGACGGCCAAGATGAGCCAAGATGGCCCCCAAACGCCCAAGATTGTCTACAAGACGTCTTATATGGCCCTAAGGGAGCCCAAGATGGGCCTAATATGTCTCCAAGACGGTCCGAGAGGCCCCCAAGACGCCCCAAGAGGGCTTTAAGAGTACCTTCACGAGCCCAAAATCATGTTTGTTTCTGAGGTTGTTCAATGATCGTTCTCGCCTGTTCGGGGTTCCCACGCTCTGAGACGGCCCCAGGCCCCCAAGATCACCCCAAGACAGCCCAAGAGGCTGCCAAGAGGCCCGCAAGACAGCCTAAGAGGGCCCCAAGACGGCCCGAGAGGTTCCCAAGATGACTCCAAGACGGCCACATAGATCTCCAAAACGGCCTAAAGCGCCCAAAGAGGGAGCCACGACTGCCCAGAGGGCAAAAGGTCCCTTAGAGACCCCCAGAGGCATTCAAGAGGCCCTCAAGAGGCCCCAAGTGGCTCCCAAGAGGCCCCCAAGAGGCTTCTCAGAAGCCCCCGCGGCCCACAGGAAGCCCCAAGAAGGCCTCGAGAGCACTCCTCTTCTTCCTCCTCCTCCTCCTACTCCTCCTCGTCCTCCCTCTCCTCCCTCTCCTCCTCCTTTCTCTTCCTCCCCCACGTGTTCCCCCAAGGGGTTCCACGACGGCTGGGAGAACACACAGTCCAATAGCTTGGCCAGAATTCGGCCCAAACTTTGGCCGCATGGGCGTTTCCAAAGGCAGGGGGTGGCGGTGATTCGCTGTAACCGTATTCGATCCGCCGCCCCTTCTGCTTGCAGAGGGGTTGTCGGCGTACCAAGTGATAACAGCTTGAACCCTTGCAAGAATTTCTCAATTGGACCTCGGCCGATCCAACTGGCCACTCGACAAAATCCTGAGACACTACATAGTCACTACGTCGGCTTTCCCAACCAGGATGGTCCCAAGAGGGCCTCGAAGACGGACAAGATGCCCGTCAAGACGGTCACAAGACGCCACCAAGACGGTCAAGATGGCCCTATCTGTCACCAAAACGTCCCAAGATGACTCGAAGACGGCCCAAGATCCCCTCCAGACGGTCCAAGAGACATCCAGGACGCCCCAAAAGAGCTCCAAGAATACCTCCATCATGCCGTCATTATTGGTGGCCCAAGAACCCCCCCAAGACACCTCCACAGACCTCCAAGACGGCCCGTGCCCAAATAGGGAACCACGATTACCCAGATAGGCCCCAACTACGGCCTCCGAAAGCCAAGACGCCCCTTAGAGGCCCACAGAGGCGCCCAAGAGGCTACAAGAGGCCCAGGAGGCACCCAGAAAGCACCCAAGATGCACCTCCAAAGGCTCCCAGGAAGCGCGCGGGAGGCCCAAAGAGGGCCCCAAGAGGACCCGTATCCCTGCTCCTTATAAAAAGAGACTCCTCCCTGTCGCACTCCAAGGCTTGTCGGTAGGACGGGCTGGGCGTTCCACATGAGACCACCTCACCATTTATGCTCCTAAAGCTTGAGATTTGCAACAGCTTCACTCATGGAGGGGGGAGTCCTTTTCAACATTTCGCTCTCGCCTGGGTGCCGCACACATTCGTCTTAATATCTTGCAGCAGGTTCACTCATGGAGGGGGTCGATTTCAAAATGTCTCTCGCGCCTGAGCGCCGCGCACTCTCGTCTTGATACTTTGCAACAGGTTCGCTCATGGATGGGATCGGTTTCAAGTTGTCGCTCTTGTCTTAGCGCCGCACGCATGCGTCTCACTTTGCAACATTTTCAGGGACGGAAGATGGGGCCGCTTTCAACATGTGCTCTCGATTGAAAGCCGCGCACATTGTTTCGAAGTCTGCACTAGCTTCACGGATGGAGGGCGACCCTATTTCAAAATAGGTATCTCGCCTTTGCGCCGCGCGCGTTCGTTTCGGAAAGCCACGTTTGGCAAGATGTTGGGCTGCTTTTTACCTAACAGCTTTTGCTGATAGGTTTCTAGTGGGGTCAAAAGAGAGCATCTGGACTCCACAAGGGGGTCTGGGCGGGTGCCGCGGAGGAGAACCGGGAATCGTTTTTCGCCAACAGTCACACACTTCGTGCTCTTCGACCTCCCAGAACTCCATTCCCGGGCCACATTCTGGAGAACCGGGAACAGAGCCGGGCTCGCTTTTCGCCAACAGTCACACACTTCGTGCTCTTCGACCTCCCAGAACTCCATTCCCGGGCCACATTCTGGAGAACCGGGAACAGAGCCGGGCTCGCTTTTCGCCAACAGTCACACACTTCGTGCTCTTCGACCTCCCAGAACTCCGTTCCTGGGCCACATTGTGGAAAACCGGGAACAGAACCGGGCTCGTTTTTCGTCAACAGTCACACACTTCGTGCTCTTCGACCTCCCAGAACTCCATTCCCGGGCTACATTTTGAGTGCCCGGAGCCAACTGTAGGCCACTTCGTGCTCTTCGAGTTCCCAGAACTCCATTCCCGGGCCACATTTTGGATGCCCGGAGCCAACTGTAGGCCACTTCGTGCTCTTCGATTTCCCAGAACTCCATTCCCGGGCCACATTTTGGATGCCCGGAGCCAACTGTAGGCCACTTCGTGCTCTTCAAGTTCCCAGAACTCCATTCCTGGGCATGATTTTGAATGCCCGGAGCCAACTGTAGGCCACTTCGTGTTCTTCTAGTTCCCAGAACTCCATTCCTGGGCCACATTTTGAATGCTGAGGCAGGCTGATGCTGCGGCCGAGGCAGGCTGAGGCTGAGGCAGGCTGAGGCTGAGGCCGAGGCTGAAGGCAGACTGAGGCTGAGGCTGAAGCAGGCTGAGGCTGAGGCTGAGGCAGGCTGAGGCTGAGGCTGAGGCAGGCTGATGCTGAGGCAGGCTGAGGCTGAGGCTGAGGCTGATGCAGGCTGAGGCTGAGGCTGAGGCTGAGGCCGAGGCTGAAGGCAGACTGAGGCTGAGGCTGAAGCAGGCTGAGGCTGAGGCTGAGGCAGGCTGAGGCTGAGGCTGAGGCTGAGGCTGAGGCTGAGGCTGAGGCTGACTGCGACTGCCGTTGCGCTGCGACTGTCATCGCGAATGCGACTACGACTGCGAGAACAGCAGAATTCTACAACTGGATTTTCATCTGAATCTTAAGGGGAATGCTTTCAGATATGCTTCTACATATCGCTGTTAGGTTGCTTTGCCGGGATAATTCTCACATGGAATTCTCGCCTGAGACTTCGTGGAGCTTCAGGGCACGGAACTTTAAACGCAGGTATCGTTGCACGGATCCATGGCGGCTCTTCTACAACATGGAGCTGTCGCTTGAGACTTCCTCGAAGTTCCTGGCCAGAAGGGTACGCGCCTGAAAGATGCAAAGCTGTTCCTTTTCAAAGTGGGGTCCTCGCCAACATGGCAGGCCCAGCTGTGCTGTTTTTTCAGGGGAGCACTTCCTGTAGTGAAAACGAGGACTAGTAGGGGCGTGTGAGGAGGGGGACTTGGGACGGGACGGTGTATGGCAGAATCGCTTACGTATGCACCTTTGGTTTACTCTGGTCCTCTTCCTCCTCCTCCTCTTCCATCACCACAGGCCCCGAGTATCGGACGCCCTGGGGGAAGAATGAATGGCCCACGGTCGGCGGGGACATGGAGTCGCGAGCCACTGCAACTTGGGCAGGGGTCACGAACCATTGCATGAGGTCATCGCTCCTTCTCTTCCTCCTCCTCCTCCTCCTGTTCCTCCTCGTCCCGTCCTCGTTTTCGTCTTCGTCCTCGTTTTTTACCTAACAGCTTTTGCTGATAGGTTTCTAGTGGGGTCGAAAGAGAGCATCATGACTCCTCAGGGGGCTCTGGGCGGGTGCCGGGGAGGAGAACCGGGAATCGTTTTTCGCCAACAGTCACACACTTCGTGCTCTTCGACCTCCCAGAACTCCATTCCCGGGCCACATTCTGGAGAACCGGGAACAGAGCCGGGCTCGCTTTTCGCCAACAGTCACACACTTCGTGCTCTTCGACCTCCCAGAACTCCATTCCCGGGCCACATTCTGGAGAACCGGGAACAGAGCCGGGCTCGTTTTTCGTCAACAGTCACACACTTCGTGCTCTTCGACCTCCCAGAACTCCATTCCCGGGCTACATTTTGAGTGCCCGGAGCCAACTGTAGGCCACTTCGTGCTCTTCGAGTTCCCAGAACTCCATCCCGGGCCACATTTTGAATGCCCGGAGCCAACTGTAGGCCACTTCGTGCTCTTCGATTTCCCAGAACTCCATTCCCGGGCCACATTTTGGATGCCCGGAGCCAACTGTAGGCCACTTCGTGCTCTTCAAGTTCCCAGAACTCCATTCCTGGGCATGATTTTGAATGCCCGGAGCCAACTGTAGGCCACTTCGTGTTCTTCTAGTTCCCAGAACTCCATTCCTGGGCCACATTTTGAATGCTGAGGCAGGCTGATGCTGCGGCCGAGGCAGGCTGAGGCTGAGGCAGGCTGAGGCTGAGGCCGAGGCTGAAGGCAGACTGAGGCTGAGGCTGAAGCAGACTGAGGCTGAGGCTGAGGCAGGCTGAGGCTGAGGCTGAGGCAGGCTGATGCTGAGGCAGGCTGAGGCTGAGGCTGAGGCTGATGCAGGCTGAGGCTGAGGCAGGCTGAGGCTGAGGCCGAGGCTGAAGGCAGACTGAGGCTGAGGCTGAAGCAGGCTGAGGCTGAGGCTGAGGCAGGCTGAGGCTGAGGCAGGCTGAGGCTGAGGCTGAGGCAGGCTGAGGCTGAGGCTGTGACTGCGACTGCCGTTGCCGCTGCGACTGTCATCGCGAATGCGACTACGACTGCGAGAACAGCAGAATTCTACAACTGGATTTTCATCTGAATCTTAAGGGGAATGCTTTCAGATATGCTTCTACATATCGCTGTTAGGTTGCTTTGCCGGGATATTTTTTTCCTCCTCCTCCTCCTCCTCCTCCTCCTCCTCTCCTTCTTTTCCTCCGTACCGCCTGACATGGCATCGAAGGCCGCGCTGGCGGCGTCAAAGCTACCCTCGGTGCTGAAGAGCGAGCCGGTGTCGACGCCCAGGAGGACCACCGCGGCCACCTCGGGGTCCTGGCGGGGTCGCCGAGCCACGCGGTGAAATGATCCTAATTTTTCTACTCCTCCTTGTCCTCTTCATCCCCATCGTGGTCCCAGACCTTTGATGTCACACAAAAAGTCGAGACGTCTGTTTTTTCGGGCGTAGCCCAAAGTCGTTGTCGGTGAAAGAAGCTTTTTGAGGTGAGTAGACTGTCTGACTGCACTGAACTGGGCTGGTCGCACCAGTTCTAGGCAGCCATTTGACATTCGGCGGCTGACCGCACGACCCATAGCGCAACCAGTTGGAGGCCGTCTTGATCCCGGCGGCCGATCGCGCAACCTATGGCGCAACCAATCGCGGCGCGGCGAGCCCAGGGGAGAAAGCAGAAGGGGGGGCGGGCCTTCTCAGAAGGCTCAGAAGGCTTCCGGCCTTCCGAAAGGCCTCCTGAGCCTTCTCCGAGGGCGCAGGCGGCGTCTCAGAAGGCAGAGCGGCTTCTACGAAGCCGCGCCACATTCTGGGAAGGCCTGCCCCCTCTCGCCCCCTCCTCCTCCTCCTCTCCTCCTTCTCCTCCTCCTCCTCCTCCTCCTCCTCCTTCCTCCTCCCCCTCCTCCTCCTCCTCCTCCTCCTCCTCCTCCTCCTCCTCCTCCCTCCTCCTCCCTCCTCCTCCTCCTCCTCCTCCTCTTCCTCCTCCTCCTCCTCCTCCTCCTCCTCTCCTCTCCTCCTCCTCCTCCTCCTCCTCCTCCTCCTCCTCCTCCTCCTCCTCCTCCCCTCAGAAGGCCGACAGGGAAGGGGGAGGAGGGCAGGGTCAGGAAGGACAGAGCCACAAAGGGGGGGGAGGACCTCCACGACAACGGCGACCACGACTACCACTGTGAGACCGAGGCCGGCGACGACCAGATCGATGGGTCCCACAAGTGGGGCAGCCACGACCATTCCTGCGGGGCTGCACCCGATGTGCGCGCGCCGTTTGGGCCAGCGGCGGGGCCAAAGCGGCGAGCTGCCCTGTGATTTCCAAGCTCCGGCTCTCTGGAGGGCCGCTTCGGCCCCCGAGGCGAAAGACTGGTCCCTGGGATGGGCCCGAGAGCTCTGGGGATTCGTGTCGCGAAGCATCGCGGCGACGGATGTCTGGACCATCGTAGTCCTCCTCCTCCTCCTGCTCCTCCCTTCTTCCTGCTGCTGCTGCTGTTGCTCCAACTCATCCTCCTCCTGCTCCTGCTCTTGCTCCTGCTCCTGCTTCTGTTCCCTCCTCCTCCTCCTCCTCCTCCTCCTCCTGGCCGGCTCCGGAAACTGTGGATCTGGAAGCGTTGCCGTCGAGCTTTTACTTTCGCCGGAAGCGGCGGGCCCGCCGCTGCTTAATTTCCGCCAGCTTCCGCCAGCTTCCGCCAGCTGCCGCCGAGGGCGATGTGGTGCCGAAGGCGAGGCCCTTTCTGGAGCGCATGGTGAGTCGATCCTCCTCCCCGCTTCCACGTCGTCGTCGTCCTCCTCCTCCTCCTCTTCCTCCTCCTCGTCCTCCTCGTCCTCCTCCTCGTCCTCCTCCTCCCCCTCCTCCTCCTCCTCGCCCTCCTCCGCCCGCTCCATCCCGTCCAGCCTTTGCCCCCGAAAGAGGGACAGGAACGAGGAGAGGAAGGGGTCGCCCCCCTGAAGAAACGATTCCCCCACCTCCTCCCCCCCTTTTCCATCTACTGCTGCTGCTGCTCCTAATTACTCCTCCTTCTCCTGTTGCCTCCTCCTCCCTCTCTCCTCCTCCTCTCCTCCTCCTCTCCCTCCTCCTCCTCCTCCTCCTCCTCCTCCTTTTTCCTCCTCCTCCTCTCCTCCTCCTATCTCCATCCTATTCCCCTCCTCCTCACTCCTCTCTCCCCTCCTCCTCCTCCTCCTCCTCCTCCTCCTCTCCTCCTCCTCCTCCTCCTCCTCTCCTCCTCCTCCTCCCCCCCCTCCTCCCTCCTCCCTCCTCCCTCCTCCCTCCTCCCTCTCCTCCCCCTCCTCCTCCTCCCTCCTCCCTCCTCCCTCCTCCCTCCTCTCTCGTCCCTCGTCCCTCGTCCCTCCTCCCTCCTCTCTCCTCCCTCCTCCCTCCTCCCTCCTCCTTCTTCCTCCTCGTTCCCGAGACCACTGTTCCTCCTCCTCTTCCTCCTTCCTCCTCCCCCGCCCTCTTTCCCTTCCTCCTCCTGCTGCTGCTCCTGCTCCTGCTTGCCCTTCGCTCCTCCCCCCTCTCCACCGCTTGATTGGTTTATCGCTCGTTTCCTTGTTGATGGCGGCTACAAAAGTGACGAACTCCAGCTTGGAGATGAAGCCGCTGTCGTCCGCGTCGATGCGTCTCCAGATGTCTTTCAGCATGCCGAGGTCTGCGTCCTCACACGGCCGAAACGTGGCCACAGGAGCGTGGGTCAAGAACATCAGTCTCTTCGTCGAAAGGCCGAATGCCACACGGAGATACACATAACGACATAACGAAGAACCCTCCAATGTGGAAAACCCAAAAACGAATAATCATAAGGGTAATGACTCACAATAAAAGGACCCCTCACCCTTTGGGAGGGGTCCGAAGATACGAGGGCCAGCACACATTAGGGATACGGGGTCTTTTCTGCAGATGTACAAAACCAACCCGCCCAGACTTATCATTCCTTATGCAAAGACGGGGACCTAAGTGAGGCCACGGCTTCACTATGTTAGGTCAGTGGTTCGGTTGTCCTGGATGAGGTAACCCTCAAAAGCTGGGGTTACCCCTCATGCCAGCTGCACGCGCACATGCCGAGGAATAACCACCGAGATGCAAACGCCGTGGGGTGCACGCCAAATCCTCAGCCCGTATGATAAGGACGCACGATAAGGATGCGAGGGTCTTGGAAGGTCATGTCGACACTTTGCGAGCGGGGCGCGGCCAGTGGAAGTGGCCAAGGATGGACCGATTGAGGAGGCAGGGATGCAAGGGTACCCTTGGGAAGGTTGCCCATTCTTACTATGCGGGTTGACTGTACACGTTCACCAAGTATGCAAAATGACACCTGCTATCCTGCGCCGCCACTAGGCTGCGGAAACAACATTTTCTTGTCAAGCAACAAATTTGTACGTCTGTGTGTGTGCGCGTTTCAATATTATCTCCCATAATCCTACAACTCATTATCACTTCACCTCGCCTGAGGACCGCCATGCTCGAACCTGGATCCTCAAATCTTGATCCCCGATAACCCTTCTCCAACGGGAGGGTGGAGCAACCCGGCGTCCTCAGACGGCGCATGGTTGTGGTCGCGGAAGTGGCTGAGGAACTGATCGTAGTTGGCGCGCTTCTTGCCGCCTCTTACCCCTTTCTTCCCCCTCCACCCCCTTCGTCCTTTTACTCCCCCTCAACAAATTCAGATTCCGAGCATTTTGCTGCACGAGTCGCGAACCTCCTCATTCCTCCTCGCTGCTCCCTCACTCTTCCTCCGTCCCCCTCCTCCTCCTCCTGCTCCTGCTGCTTCCTGCTCCCTCCTTCCTGCTCCCTCTTCCCTTATCCCTCCTGCCTCCTCTCTCTCGTTCCTGCTCGGTCCTCCTCTTCCCCCTCTCCGTCGTTCTCCTCATGCTCCCTCCTCCTTCCTCTCTCTTCCCTAGTTCTCCACCCGTGCTCCTCCTTCCTCTCCTTCACTCCTTTTCCTTACGAATAACACCGCCCTGTCGAATTCCGAGGCCAGTCGGCAGGGTGGGCCGGGCGTTTCGCCAGAAACTGAAAGGCTGGCAACAGTTTGACAGATGGAGGGCGGGTCGCTTCCAACATGTTGCTCTCGCCTTCGCGCCGCGCACATTCGTTTTTTTGTATGGCAAGAGTTTCGCGGATCGAGGGCGAGTCGTCTTCAACGCGTGGCTCTCGTCTTAGCGCCGCGCACGTCCGTCTTAAACGTTTGACAGAGCTTCACGGATGGAGGGCGGGTGATTTTCAAAAAGTGGCTCTCGCCTTAGCGCCGCGCGCATTCGTTTCAAAACATTGTAAAAGTTTCACGGCTGGAGGGCGAATGATTTTCAAAATGTGGCTATCGCCTTAACGCCGCGCTCAATCGTTTTCAGAAATTGCACGAGTTTCCAGGGTTGGAGATGGATCCTTTTCAAAATGTAGCTCTCGCCTTAGCACCCCGCGCGCTCGTCTTAAACAAGTGCAGGAGTTTCACGGACGCCCATGGTTAACGTACCAGAAGCGGCCTTCTGGAACGATGCAGGATTGGCAGGGCGCAACACTTACGTTGATTCGCGGTGTTGAAGTCCCAGGGATGGTGTTATGGCGCGATTCAGGCTCGTCAAGACCCAGCAACCAGGTTGACTCGTGGCGTTGAAAACCCGGGAATGGTATTTTGGTGCGCTCCAGAATCTTCAAACAATTGTCTCCCATCGGGGCACCTCCCTCGGTGGAAATGAATCCTTGTAGGGGCCTGTGAAGAGGAAGCTTGAGGGGAGGGTGGATTCCAACATCGTTGGTGAGTCCTCGGTTTGCACTGGTCCTCCTCCTCCTCCTCCTCCTCCTCCTCCTCCTTCTCCTCATCCTCATCCTTCTTCTTGTTCCGGCCGCCCGACATGGCATCGAAGGCCGCGTTCGCGGCGTCGAAGGTGTCTTCACTTTCGAGCGCCGAACTGGCTTCGTGGCCTGGAAGGATCAGCGCGGTCACCACTGGGTCCTGGCAGGGCCGAGGAGTTCACGTGGTGTAACGATCTTCCCCTCACCACTGCGTATGTTTGGTATTCCTCCCTCCCTCCCCCTCTCCTCTCCCACCGCAAGCTCGTAGCACATTGTTCTTCAAACTGCTGGCACTTGGGGGTGCAACCATCGTGCTACCATTTAGGATCGCTGAGTACGGAGCAGGGGCGATGTTATGGCCACTGCGAGCCTCGGCCCCGACTAGGCTTCCCGACAAACGGCCCTCGACACAACGAACCTCCAAAATCTTGGCGCTCCTTGTCAGGTTCGCCCCGCCAGCGTCGCCCCACTCAATGTCTAAGCAGGTCACAATGCGGTCTGCACCGACGCGACTTAGAAATCACACGATGCCCAGCGTTGGAGAACGGGTGCCAACACGTACCTCGCACGCAGAGCCACTCACGCACAGAACGTCAAACATCGTAGTGCTTGGTGCCACGAACTTCTGAGGTTGATGTGTTCGAGGGTCGTTCGCTTCGAATGCGTCACTGCGCATTCTCAATACTTGCCGTCGCTCGGACGTCCATTTCCCGTGCATGTTTCGGTTTCGCTCGTGTTTTTGTTTGCCCGATGGTCCAGGATGCTCCTCCAGGGTCCTCGCCGAGAAAAAAATGCACACGTCCGAGCGATGCCAGGCAATACCTTACTGCACCAGCATGGTGCCCCAATCTCTCCACACGAATATCCGACGAGAGACCGCGGACAGCAGCTTCTGACCCGGGCTGCCGCTCGCGCCGCCGCGCCCCGTCCAGGGGAGCGGAACCCATGTGATTTGCTGCGCAGCGGCGCCGCTCGGATGGCACGTTCGGAACAGGCGCTGCCGCCAAGAACGTCCGACTCTTCTGTGTACGCGATACGCACCCGTGGCTGTTCAACGAGACGTGGTTTCCTCAACGCAGAAAAAAGAGTTGTGCATATGTGTGAGAAACCAACAACTGCTTGAACAACTGCGGAGCAAGATGAAGTGACACATGCAATACGGACCGCCCCTGGGGGGGCGTAGGTGCTGAACTTTTCCAGGCGACGTACCCAACCATATGCAAGTGTGATTGCCGCATGGCGGGTGGGAAGAAGGGTGGGCCCCCTATGGGGCCATGAAGCGTGTGAGAGGTGACCGACACGGGCGTGGCGCCGCCGTGCGGGAGCTGCCCCTCGGGCCGTCGGTGGGGACGTGGCTGCGAAACGCGTGACGGGCGTGCCACAATTGGAACGGCGGCGCCATGCGGATGCTGCAGATGGGGGCCTTCTTTGGGGCTCCACATGGGGCCATGAAACGTGTGAGAGTGAGCCAAACTGGGGGGCGGCGCTATGCGAGCGCTGCCGCTTGGGCATTCGGTGGGGCTCCCCATGGGGCCGCGAAGAGTGTGAGGTGGGCCAACATTGGGCGGCGGCGGCGGCATGCGCGCGCTATCGCTTGGGCCTTCGGTTGAGCCCCCCTGTATGAGGCCACGCAAAGTGTGAAAGGCGTGCAAAACTGGGGCGGCGGCGCCATGCGGGCGCTGCTGCTTGGGCCTTCGGTGGAACTCCCTATGGGGCTACGAACCGTGTGAGGGTGAGCAAACACCGACGCAGCGGCGCCATGCAGGCGCTGCTGCTTGGGCCTTCGGTGGGGCTCACTATGGGGCCACGGAGCGTGTCATAGGTGTGCCACAACGCGGCGGCGGCGGCGCCATGCGGGCGCTGCCGCTTGGGCGTTCGGTTGAGCCCCCATATGGGGCCACGAAGCGTGTGAGAGGTGTGCGAACATGCGGCGGCGGCGCCATGCGGGCGCTGCAATTTGGGCCTTCGGTGGAGCTCCCTGTGGGGCCACGAACCATGTGATGTGTTTGTGCCGAACTCCACATGCGGAAGGCAGAGGCAGGGATGAACGGATGGGGCAGCGGGAGGGGGAGCAGGAGAGGAGACGCGGGGCGCTGCCCCTTCAAAATGAGGACCCACCACCACAGGATTGTGGGAACCTACACGAGACGCACCCAACCTCTTCTCCACACGAGGGGAATGTTTGCACGAACGCTCCGTACAAACAAGCATGTCGCCAGATATGCAGAATCAGCGGTGCCCATATCTCCGCCGTACCTCCAAGGAGCCAACGACCATGGCGACAATTTCGCATGCCGTAGCCTCCCAAGGAGCCGCGATGTCTCGGCTGGATCCGCGTGGCCCCCGACTCCGCTGGACATCCCAGAAACCCACGAACGTGGCGACAATTGTGCAGTTCGCAGCTGCACAAGGAGCCGCGATGTCTCGGCTGGATCCGCGTGGCCCCCGACTCCGCTGGACATCCCAGAAACCCACGAACGTGGCGACAATTGTGCAGTTCGCAGCAGCACAGGGGGCAGTGATGTCTCAAATGGGTGCGCGTCGCCTCCGACTTCGCTGGACCTCCCAAGAGCCCACGACAGCAGCGATCATTGCGCACTTCGCAGCCACACAGGGAGTAGCGAAGCCCCGCCTAGGCCGCGTGGCCCCCGACTCCGCTGGACCTCCCAGGAGCCGACGAACATGGTGACAGTTGCGCGGTTCGCAGCCACCCAGGGAACAGCGAGGTCTCATCTGGGTCCGCATGGCCCCCGACTCCGCTGGACCCCCCAGGAGCCCGCGAAAGTGCCGACAAATGCGCAAGTCGCAGCCAGCCAGGGAGCCGCGAGGTCTTGTCTGGGTGCGCGTGACCCCCGACTCCGCTGGACCTCCCAAGAGCCCACGAACATGGCCACAACTGAGCACTTCGCGGCCACACGAAGAACAACAGAGTTCCGTCTGTGTCCGTGTGGCCCCCGACTCCGCTGGACCTCCCAGGAGCTCACGACAGAGCGACAGCTGCGCAGCTCGCAGCCACCCAGGAAGCAGCGGGGTCCCGTCTGGGCCCGCGTGGCCCCCGACCCCTGGTGGACCTCCCAAGAGCTAGTGAAAGCGGCGACCATCGCGCAATTCGCAGCCGCCCAGGGAGCAGCGAGGCCCCGTCGGGGCCCGCGTGGCCTCGGACTCCGTCTGGACCCTCCCAGGGGCCCGCGAAAGCGGCGGCACTTGCGCACTTCGCAGCCACCCAGGGAGCAGCGCAGGAGGAGGGAGGCGGAAGGAGAAGGTGGGGACCGCAGTGCACTACCCAAAACAAGAACCCAACACAGAAGGGTAGGGACAAATACCGTCGAGACGCGCGCGGGCCGAGGCCGCTAACCAGTCCTTGCAGGTCGGCTCACTCACGCAGTCATTCCGCACGGCCAACCCTTGACAAAATCAACCTCACAAGTTGTTGACGCGTCCCTGCAATGCCGCCCCCTGTTCGCCCCGTCCACGTCGCCCCCTTCAATGTCGACGTAAAGCAAAACACGGTCTGAGCCGGCGCGACTCGGAAGTTGCGCGATGACCGGCATTGGAAAGGGGGTATCAACAAATACTTCGCACGCAATGCCACTCATACCCACAACACCAACCTTTCAAGTAAGTTGTGCACCATACCTTGTAGGATAATTGTGCCGAGGGTCGTAGACTTCAAGACTGGCTCGAAAACCATGGCCCCTCTTTAACTGAAACTGGCCATCATGTTAACGTATTGGCTGTATCATTTACATCTGGAGACTCGCTACACGAAATTTGCAATATTTCGCGGAACAAAACTCGTGCCCCAATTAGCTTATCACTCGGCTACAACCCTCGTCAAAATTAACCTCAAAATGGCGGGCACGCCCCTTCGATGTCGGCGCGCCCCTTCAATGTCGATACGACGCCCCTTCAATGTCGGGGCCAGGGCAGATGTGGTGTGACCGGGAGCGACTCGAAAATTCAAAGATGACCGACATTGGAGGGGCGGCGCATACAAGTACATCGCACTCATCGGCACTCGGTCCGATATCTCCCACAATCAGTTCAGCTACGTGAGGCATTTTTGAGGTTATTTTTGACGAGGGTTGTAGTTCAAATCAGAGTCGGAACATGCTTCGCCAGCAACCTCACAACACTTCTCGACCTTTACGCCCACTTCCTATGGCCGCAGTGACCGACAATAACTTTCGCCACGGCGATGTATTCCCTGCGGGGGCCGAGGCGATACATTCCCTGCGGGGTGGCGGGGGAAGGAGGAGGTGATGGAGGACGAAGGAAAGGGAGCGCTTAACTAAAATATGAAGACGACGACGACGACGACGACGAAGAAGAAGAAAAAGAAACAACAACTGCACAAACATGAACTGTCAGAGCTCCTCGCAGATCCAATACATCCGCGCGGACTGCACAAGTTTATGCTTATGCAGCTGTTTCTTCTTCGATCCACCGAATGGGCTTATCACTCCTCTCCTTGTTGACGGCGTTGATGAGCTCAAGCTTGGAGATGGAGCCACCGCCGTCCGAGTCGATGCGCCTCCAGATATGCCTCAGCGTGCAGGCGTCGCGGAAGTGGTCCACGAACTCTGAGTA